GCTGATAGTGATACTTACTACTAGTACTACTACTAGTACTACTACTGCTAGGTCCTAGGGTCTATGTCCCCCAGGGTACTATCGGAGGGTACCCTGGGTACGGTTCGATATATCAGAAAGTACCTCGGGATACCAGCGATATGTCGCTGTGTACCCTGCATTGTCCCACCATACCCTGACTTTCAGCCAACTGATCATGAAAATCATGCAGAATATGCATTTAATAAATATAATATGGTTTTGCAGAAAAATGATAATTTTTAGTGGATGACAACATTTTACGCTTCTCCCCTATACTGGTGGGTGACCGTGAGGTATTACCGCCGTCACGTGCATATTGATTTTTTTTATATTTGATGTCAATATCAAACCATTCTTATTTATGCATTATTATGGTACCGTAATGCATGATAGTATTACATTTACAATGATAACATTAAACTACGAGACTACTAGCTTTTATTAATTTTTCTAAATTATTCATATTAATTGATGATTCATCAATTAATCTCAATATTTTTGCTGTTTCACAGACTGTGTGTAAAAGTCAGGGTACGGTGGGGCAATGCAGGGTACGCAGCGACATATTGTATAGTACTCCGCGGTACTTTCCGATATATCGAACCGTACCCAGGGTACCCTCCGATAGTACCCTGGGGGACATAGACCTTATCAGCGGCACTGGCAGGCAAGCACTGGTGGGCACTGATCAGTGCAGTGCCACTAATCAGGGCCGTACGCAGCAGGGGGCAGCAGGGGCAGTTGCCCCCCCCTAGAGATTTTCAGAGTATGCCTTTTAATGGGACAAATAGGGCAATAGAGGGCGTGGGGAGTACCTTTGCCCCCCCCTACAGAAAATTTCCTGCGTATTTGCCCCCCTACAGAAAATTTCCTGCGTACGGCCTTGCCTGTGCCAGTGGCAGTGCAGTGCCGTGGCAGGGCCTGGCACTACGCTAAAACTGTTGACAGTGTTGTTACTGTAGTCTAGTGTTAGTATTAGTAAGGGCGGGCAGTCGAGCCGTTTTACTAATAACATTATGGTATATAAATACAATTTGTATTCACTACCAAAATATTAATGTTTATGTACTTTCGTATGGCCAATAGTTTAGCGTAAATGACGATCAAATGATCCTCAACACAAGTAAGAACTAACACAGTCACAGTGCCACTGTCAGTCCCACCCCACGCACACCTGACCTGTCCACAGTCTCACAGAAAGAGAAATCACTTTGTGCACAAAACAAGAACAATGCCATGGCGTGTGTACTGTGACATGATTGTGTGTTGCAGACTTGCATAGAAGCATTTGAACGGCATTTATGTGGAATTGTTAGGTGATAGATAATACACAAACATTAAGACTTTGATAATGAATACAGTTTGCATTTGTTTACCATCATTTTATTATTAAAACGACCCAGGCAGTCGTGACTCTGTTTACTGGAGTGCGTGTACTGTTGTATCATGAATGCATTGACGATGTCTGTATATTGACAATATGAATTGACGTTGGTCTCGCAGCTTGGTCAGGCTAACCAACACAGTAGTTTATGGACAGTATTTTAGTATACACTGAGTGTAATGTGTACTAATTTCATCTGCAAGATGTTGCTGCCATATAAAGTACTAATTAATGTGTATAACTTTGTTTCAGGACAGTCAACAGTCATTGTATCCTTACAATTTATCTGTTCCTTCACTGAGGGAGAGAAAGCTATGGGCAATCTTATCAGCTGGCTTGCATTCCTTATCGCTAGCAATGCTTGGTTTGGGCATTTCAGGCTCTGACATCGATGCGGAATATTCACCATTTTAAAAGGTTGCCATAATTATGTGAACTTCTCTTAAAATGAGTAACATGCACTTGTGAGTGTATGGGATGCAATGGAGACTGATTGCAGGAAAACACAGATTTCGTAAACAGTGTATGTGTAAGTGTCACTGTCTAGTGAGATAGCGGTGCGTTACATGAGTCAAAGATTAGCCACCCGAGGTGTTGGCAGTAGGCTATATAATTATTTCTATCAATTTTATTTACAAATGATTTAGCATGCCACTTTTTGGGCAGTTAAACCCCCTTTTGAGCTCATCTGACGTAGTCAGATGCAGCTTGTAGAATCGCATGATTGTACGTCCGTCCGTCCGTGCGTCCGTCAACAGTTGGGCACAAATCTTAACCGCTCGACGTACGGTCACGATATTTAGGACGTGGGGGGGGGATCGTGAAAAGGACTCGGGAAAATTAATTTGGGGGTCAAAGGTCAATATGTGTAAACGGAGGGGGAATATTTCCCCCTTAACTTATGGTATAGGAGGAAATACGGAATTGCGACACAAATCTCAACGGCTCGACCTATTCTCTTAATATTCGGTGTATAGTGTGATGGGCAGGAAACCCATCACCATTGAGAAATTGGAGGTCACAGGTCAAAGGGCAGTGGGGAAAAGGTCAGATATCATACATTTTCTGAGGACGTGGCCTAACGGACAGAGTGAAAAACTTTTTGAAACTTTGAAAAACAAAGGTGTCACTACGCACGACTTAAATGTTACGTTTATAACCGTAGCAACAGACCTCAGATGAGCCCAGACGCTCTGCGGCTCTTGTTTAAATAATGCAAGACCTAGTTTTAATTTTACATTGTAAGTAAGGTGGCCCTTATTTACAAATTACGTAATGTGTAAAATTAAATATCCCGGTTGTCGTAACACAGGGCATTACTGTAAAGTGCTGCGATCCTGAGTCGTTGCGAATGCATGAACTACTAGCGTATGAAATTACGGGGAGGCAATGAGTGTGATCGTGGAATTAGGTACGGTACAACATGTCATATTCAGCTAAATTCTCGATGGGTGAGTTTGTCTAGTTGTGACATGACTATTTGTATTAGTAAATTACCCATATATGAAAAATTGCTGATAAGCCTTTGAAAAAATTTATATCCATGTGGCTTGTATTATGTAAGAATAATATATGTCTATGTAAGTTTAGTGAACATATTCTATGTAAGGTCATGTACAGGAATCTAGTATCCTTACAGTTGACTACACAGAGATCCTCGCTGCCATATCAGATACTGCTGTACTGTAATGGCTGGTATTCAGGGGCCTTTGTCATTGCAGAACTCCTAGTGTTTATATACAAAGGTAAGTACCATTTTTCATCTTCACAGTTAAATATATGCGGGGTATGCACTTGCCTTCATGCCCACAGCGTGCTTTCAGAAAAGTATGATATATAGTATAACCAAAAAAGGCATACAGTGCGTCTCATGCATAATTCCACACCTATGATAGTTCATTTGTGCTCAGTAAAACTGACCACCAAAGTTATTGTGCACTTAAATATCACTAGCATCTTTCAATGATATTATATCTTTTTATGACTGATAATGCTTTGCCTGACAGGCTATTAGATATTGTTACAAATGTGTCTAAAAATGGCGTGACTGTGGAAAAATGGTTTGCCAATTCATGACTACATATGTGTAACCAACTCGTAGGTGAAACACTACCGTACGCTCGAGGAAACCTACCAGCTGAGATTATCCTATTGCTACTACTCGGATGTCTCGAGGGAGTGCGACTGTTCCTAGGTATGTCGATTTCGGGATTCATATCACCTATCTCGTACCACCATCGCAGTTTCAAAGCGATATTGCTGCCAGGCACACATGTTGGCATTTTTCATACAGCTTTACCAAGCCGTTGAACTAGCATGAAATAAATGACAACCATTATACTGTCAAGCTATTATCACTCTACCCACGATGTACGTTGACCTTGATGTACATTGACCGCTCTACAAATTGATTAGGTGTCCCCAGGTTAGAATCACGGTGTAAATAACGGCGATTTTATAAATAAATGAATAAACTGTTCCTCCTCGCTCATCCATCGTGTAAATAAAGGTTATTTTATAAACAAACAAATAAAGTAAGATCCACACTCCCCTCGCGCATCCATCGTCTATCTCGCCAGCGGCATCTCCCTCCGTCTTGTCGCAGGTCAGAAGGGCAACCTGACGGAGCGAGGCATGGCCGTGGGGCTGTCGCTCGTGCTCAGCATGGCCACGCTCGTCGGCTTCCTCTACCTGACGCTGTGGCAGACGTACGTGCTGCGGCTAGAGGTGATCCTCACTGGCATCGGCCTCGCCTTCATCGGCCTCGAGCTCATCTTTGGTCTAATATCGATCATCAGCTTCGCGAGGTGAGTTCCTCCGCATGTTCGTTCATTACGACGATTGTGTTTGTGACTTACGGCAATTGCGTTTGTGACTTACGACGATTGTGTTTGTGACTTACGACGATTGTGTTTGTGACTTACGACGATTGTGTTTGTGACTTACGACGATTGTGTTTGTGACTTACGGCGATTGTGATCGTTCCATACGATGATTGTGTTTGTTCGTTATGACGATTGGCCTGCCCTTTTTTCGTTTGGCTGCGACGGGTGTTGAGAAATAAATTGGGAGTGATTTTTGTCAGTTTTGTTTTGAAAAAGGGGGAGCAATAATTCTGTGAGATAAAATGAGTGAGGCAGAGAATCTGTTTAGACTGGTGTTGAGAAATAAATTTGGCATAATTTTTGTTAGTTTTGTTTTGAAAGAAAGAGCAATTCTGTGAGATTAAATAAGTGAGACAGAGAATCTGTTTGTCCTCACGCATCAGGATCCCTCTCTTTGGGGGGGGGGAGGGCTGTTGACCCTGGTTTCTTATTACTATGTGTCAAAGAAATCCTGTCAGTGCTGTTCTCATGTAAACGCAGTCTTATTCAGCAGGTGGTCTCAGTATTAATTCATTGTTATATTATTCAATGCAATAATTGGATCAATAAGTCTCTATGGTTAGGAGGTAGGTAGGTGATCTTAAATGGTGTACAGATCCTAGGCTGCCATTATTTCTTCCAGGGCAGCTCCGTATGGATGATTGCTTACGAAACAACCAGGTGGCAGCACAAGTATGAAAATAATTGAGTACGTTGAAGAGATCCCTCATCACCACCAAGCTCTGCTAACAACCAGTATAACGGTTCTGCTAGTTAACTAATTAAGGATAATTATAACACAGTCTATACCCAATTTAGTCTATCAGTGGTCATTAGTCTATCTATTAGTGCTGACAGTGGCAACAGAAGTTACAGAACTAATGTGGGCACTGTCTAAGAACTGGCCAGCTCTCTTTTTATTGCTGACGTCCAAGTGCTGCTAAACGTCAAAGATCTAGTCCATGTATAGAATCATGAAAAATCTGCCCATGTACAGAAACAGAGGCGCATTCATTGTTAGAAACATTACATCGTAAGTAGTTACGACATCATGTCTGAAACGTCTTAACTTCTGAAGTAAAGCGCTATGAATAACCTGCAACATTTTACACTTATGATAGTCATAACTATTTATATGGTTCTGACAACATGCACCTGGTCTTTATCCGTCCATGAATGCAAAAAAGAAGGACGTAACACTGTTGGTCATTGGTTAACATCTATAGAATTGTCCCAGCCGTACAACAGTGATAACTACCACGTATCTTGCTGTCATGAACCGCTGTTGCAAGTGTAAATCCTGCCAAATATTTTGTGCGTTTTTTTTATACATTTACTAAAGCCTAGAACTGATGAATTCGGAAGGCAGCAATTCTCTTTTTACATCGCAAACCTGTTTCTGCTGGCCACACTATTTTCTTCTGAAAGACGTGTAAATACTAAATATAGGTGTATTTCACCTGAGAATCTCTCGAGAACTTGTTGCAAGAAGAAGAAAAGAAGAAGAAACATCCGTGATGTGGCATGATCTAAATAAGGTTATTCTGCTATGTGTGTACGTGCACGTGTTTGTGTTTGTAAGTGCGTGCATGTGTGTGTACACGCGGGGGTGTAGGGCGTATATGTGCACGTCCGTGCGTGCCTGCGTGTGTGTGTGAGTGGGAGTGGAAGCGTGCGTGAGAGTGCGTGTGTGCCTACGGGCGTGTGTACGCACGAGAATGAATGTGTATCCTCGTGACGTGACTATCATCTTTTCCCGTCGACCGTGAGAAGCACGTTGGACGCAGTCTCTGACGTCTTCTCTCCATCTACAGCTCATCCCAGTATTTAGCTCATTCTGTAACTGTGCGCGTGCATTTCGCTAGGGTTAGCTTAATGGAATTGCTTACCGAGTCTTTTCCGTTTAGTGTTCCGTGTACAGTATAAAAATAGAGTTTGTACATATGACATTTAATTCTTGTTTATCTTCGAATGAAATATATGTAAATATATATATATGATATCCTTTACTTCACATGCTCTTGGTGTTTAATCAATTTGCTTGATTGTTATTTAGTGGTCGAATATTTGGTGAACTGTGTATATATATGGAAGTATATTGTTTATCACAGTATTTACCAGTCATTACTGTTATGTAAATCATTTGTAAAGTGTATGCTTATTCAGAGGCGAAGAGCTCAATGGGAACTGGTACTTGAAAGGAAAACGTGTTAGTGCTTTGATCAGAACTACCACGAGTCACACAAGTGTTGCATTTTTGTATAAGTAACATCAAATACATGTATTATTAACCCTTGGTAATATTTCTCTGCCACCTGGTTGATTTTAACTGTATCCATTTGTTCCACACACATGTTTCCTGTTGCCTGCACATACACTCTTCCTCCGCACAATTCGCTCGTTTCAACTGTGTATAAATATACACGTTGATATGTCTCCTGACATGTTACCTGTGTTTACTCACGGTTGCTACATTCATTGGTTATTCAGTTATATGTTTTAAAGCTCTTGTTGTCACCACTCCATTGCCGTTAGTAACAACATTACCACCGACTGCACTTTTACTATTTATTATTCTTTTTCTAGTTTTCACCTTTTATTAGCCGCGTTCACACGTAGCAAGAAATCCGGTATTTAGCGTTCACACGAGGCAAAATGCGCGGTCCAAGAAATACGGGTATCTAACAGATCCGTATTTGATGTAAATACGCGGCTTCCCAGACCCGAATAATTTGCCGTGCTTGAGAAATACCGGACCTCTTGGACCGCGCATTTCCTCGTGTGAACGCTAATACTGGATTTCTGAAGCCGCCGTATTTTATAGACTGGTCGCGCCTCGACAGTTCCAGTGTAACGCGAGGTGGAACTGTCCGAGCGCGGACCAGTCTACGTATTTTTATCGGCAGTTGTGGCGCCATTGCATTGTTTATTTCGCATTGTTCGCTTGATTGTTTAAAGCAGCTCGCAGCTCGCAAATACCGTATTTCTGGAGCCGCGAATCAGCGTGTGAACACTCGGCCGCGTATTTGTTTCAGATTCGGTATTTCGCAAATACCGTATTTCATAAATACGAGGTCTCGTGTGGACGAGGCTAATATGTGTATGGAATATTTCTCCGGCCATTTTTTTTAATGGAAACACAATGTTGCCTTTGTGTGCACTGGTTATGGGCGCAATATGTTACCCTTACCTTTGGGTGCACTGTTCATATTGATCACTATGTTGCTTTTATTATGTATGCACTGCTACGATTCCCAATTTTACCCTGATTTTCTTCGTCTGTACGTCTGTTTTCCATTGGTTATCCGTCTGTATCAGGGGTGGATAATGACAAATTCACCATGTGACAATGAAATTTCGTCATTAATCACCCCTCTGTATGCATGGCATGCTTTCGCGACGTATACACACTCTGGTTCCAGATATTCCAGTTTTCGTCTGTCTGTCTGTCTATCAATCAGTCTTGCATTTTTAGGTGTTATTTTGTCCTTTCCTCCCATCCATGTGTAATTGATACTTGTTACTAGGGTGACAACTATCGTACAAGAAATATATGTGAAATCTACCAGATTGAAATAGCATTTGCTCCTTGTCCCCCACTACGTCCGAAGGGTGCAAACGAATGGAGCAGTGCTGTTGAATAAATCCTTTGAATCTTGAATCATAGATTTTCTCCCGTATGCACTGAGGATAAAATAGCTCTGTGTAAACCTAGATCGCGCACGTCATTAACTACCCATGAAAACCTTGTAGCACCCCCTCGTTATTTAACTTTCGCGCGTTGTCATGACAACCGCCAAGTTTGTGTTGTCGTCTCGAGCGAGAGAATGTCACGAGGAACAACCGAAGAGCACAGCTTGTGCTCCTAGTGGCAGCGTATATAGTGATACCTAGTGCTAGCGCGCTGAAACCTTACTCGCATAATATCAAATATTACAGTGAGGTAGGTAATAGGGAGGCGAGACATGCCGGTTCTGCGGGCAACAGTATCTAGAATATGCGGAAACCTTAAAGGTGCGTGTAATGAGAATGGTTCGTGCATACGGCGCATAGTTCCGCATAATATGAGCTGCCCGTATATTGCTGTATCTTGATAATTTGATGTTGTTGACCGGATGAGAGAACCCCCACGAAAGATGATAACGCTATATATAGTTGAGGGTGCGGTGAGCGAACGAGAGAGTGAAAAGGCAAGCGAGATGGATGAATGGAGATAGAAAGAGAGCGAATCAGGGGACTTGCAGGTGTAGTTTCGTTAATGTGCTCATACGGTTTGCATCGCTAGGATAACCTCTTTCACACAAACTGGCCGAAATGAAGCCGCTATCAGCGGTTTGCAACGCTACGGAAATGAATACTCGTCAACGCTGTCCAAGCAGCCACCCAGCCGTTGTCAGTTGTAGTATTGATTTTCTGCTGTCATTATGTGGATGTGCGCAGCATTTGTAACGCTGGTAATACGAGTGTTATATAACAATCTGCGCGTTTAATCTATATGATATGTAGTCGCTCAACTGTACGTTTGTCCTCTCTCGCACTCGCATATTCGCTTGCTCTCTCTCTCTCTCTCTCTCTCTCTCTCTCTCTCTCTCGCTCTCTCTTTCTTTCCTTTCTCTCTCTCGCGCTCTCTCCGTCTCGTCTCTCTCTCTCGTACTCTCTCTCTGCCTCTCGTCTCTCTCTCTCTCTCTCTCCTCTCTCTCTCTTCTCTCTCG